CCCTTTCTCTCTTGCTCTCTCTCCTCTCCCTCCCTCTCTCCCCCTTCCTCCCTGCCTTTCTCTCTTGCTCTCTCTCCTCTCCCTCCCTCCCTCCCTCCTCTCTCTCCCTCCCTTCCCCCTGTCTCCCCCTCTCTCTCCTCCCCACAGGGTCTCAAGAACAACTGGGAGGAGATCAACAAGGACTTCCAGAGCCTGTCGGTGGAGATCACCACCATCCCCCAGCGGCTGCGCAAAGAGAAGCTGGAGACGGAGATGAAACAGCTGGAACACGACATTGCGGCTCTGGAGAAGCACAAGTTTATCTACATTGCGGGAGAATAGGACCGGGAAGGGGGGGGGAAATCTGGGCCGATGGGAGAGGAGAGGGGGCTGCCTTGAGGTCCCCTCCCACGGCTGCTTCTTCCTCCAAAGTGGGACAGATCTCGGCTCAGGCGAACAGGACCCATTTGGTGGCTCCATCGCTTCCCCCCCCGACGGGTTTCCAGTTGCTGTGGTTGTGTGTTGGGCGGCTGCCCTCCCCCCGTAGGACTCCAATCCCCCCCTCCCCAGTCAGCCACAATCCTGGGGTGAGACCCTCCTCTCTCCCCACCCCACCCCGCCCTAACCAGTTGGCCCATAGGGGACAAGAGTTAGTTTCTCCAAAGTTGCTGGCATTTTTTACGTTTTTAAGAGTTCTCCGAGCATTTTGCGATTTGACAAAAGTTGTATAACGGTTCTCGGTGCATTTTACAATTGGACAAAAGTTGTGTAACGGTTCTCGGTGCATTTTGTAATTTGTCAAAACTTGTATAAAGGTTCTCCAAGCATTTCGCAATTTGACAAAAGTTGGATAACGGTTCTCGGTGCATTTCGCAATTGGACGAAAGTTGTATAACAGTTCTCGGTCATTTTACAATTTGACAAAAGTTGTGTAACGGTTCTCAGTGCATTTCGCAATTTGACAAAAGTTTTTATAACAGTTCTCGGTGCATTTTACAATTTGACAAAAGTTGTGTAACGGTTCTCGGTGCATTTTACAATTTGACAAAAGTTGTGTAACGGTTCTCTGAGCATTTTGCAATTTGACAAAAATTGTATAATGATTCTCGGTTCATTTTGCGATTTGACAAAAGTTGTATAACAGTTCTCAGTGCATTTTGCGATTTGACAAAAGTGTAATGGTTCTCGGTGCATTTTACAATTTGACAAAAGTTGTGTAACGGTTCTCTGAGCATTGTGCAATTTGACAAAAGTTGTATAACGGTTCTTGGTGCATTTTTCAATTTGACAAAAGTTGTGTAACAGTTCTCCGAGCATTTTTCAATTTGACAAGTGTTGTATAACGGTTCTCGGTGCATTTTGCAATTGGACAAAAGTTGTGTAACGGTTTGCGCATTTCACAATTTGCCAAAAGTTGTATAATGGTTTTCTGAGCATTTTGCAATTTGACAAAATTATCTAAGAGTTCTCCGAGCATTTCACAATTTGACAAAAGTTGTGTAACGGTTCTCGGTGCATTTTACAATTTGACAAAAGTTGTGTAACGGTTCTTGGTGCATTTTTCAATTTGACAAAAGTTGTATAACGGTTCTTGGTGCATTTTGCAATTTGACAAAAGTTGTATAACGGTTCTCCGAGCATTTTGCAATTTGACAAAAGTTGTGTAACGGTTCTCTGAGCATTTTGCAATTTGCCAAAATTATCTAAGAGTTCTCCGAGCATTTCACAATTTGACAAAAGTTGTGTAACGGTTCTCGGTGCATTTCACAATTTGACAAAAGTTGTGTAACGGTTCTTGGTGCATTTTTCAATTTGACAAAAGTTGTATAACGGTTCTCGGTGCATTTTGCAATTTGACAAAAGTTGTATAACGGTTCTCCGAGCATTTTGCAATTTGACAAAAGTTGTGTAACGGTTCTCTGAGCATTTTGCAATTTGCCAAAATTATCTAAGAGTTCTCCGAGCATTTCACAATTTGACAAAAGTTGTATAATGGTTCTCTGAGCATTTTGCAATTTGCCAAAAGTTGTATAACGGTTCTCGGTGCATTTTGCAATTTGACAAAAGTTATGTAACGGTTCTCGGTGCATTTCGCAATTTGCCAAAAGTTGTATAACGATTCTCCGAGCATTTCGCAATTTGACAAAAGTTGTGTAACGGTTCTCTGAGCATTTCGCAATTTTACAAAATTATCTAAGAGTTCTCCAAGCATTTTGCAATTTGACAAAAGTTGTGTAACGCTTCTTCTTCCAGTTTTAAATAAAGCACCTTATCGACCCACGGTTTTTTCCTGTGTGCGTGCATGTGTGCATAAATGGCTGGGTTTGTGTCTGTGCCTGTGTGTGTAGTAGATACAAAGGTCCTTGAAATGGAGCAGCTGTAACAACTCATCAGCGTGATTTCTTGTAGCAGCCTACTATGGGATGGAGGCTAAAACATTCAAAGGACGGTTCCAAGGAGAGAAGCAACCTGGAATGAAGGAGAAAGTCCCTAACAGGGAGGACAATTAGCCAGTGGAACAGCTTGCCACCAGAGGTTGTGGGTGCTCCATCCCTGGAGGTTTACAGGAAGAGATTGGACAGCCACCTGACCAGGATGTTATAGGATCTCAGGCGGTTGGACTAGAAGAGAGCGAGAGAGATGGGGAGAGATACAGAGAGAGAGAGAGAAAGATGGAGAGAGATGGATAGATGGAGAGAGATGCAGAGAGAGATGGCGAGAGAGAGAAAATGCAGAGAGAGAGAGAAAGATGGAGAGATGCAGAGAGAAAGATGGAGAGATGGAGAGATGGAGAGAGATGGATGGAGAGATGCAGACAGAAAAAAATGCAGAGAGAGAGAGAAAGATGGAGAGAGAGATGGATGGAGAGAGATGGATAGATGCAGAGAGATGCAGAGAGAGAAAAATGCAGAGAGAAAGATGGAGAGAGATGGAGAGAGAGAGATGGAGAGAAAGATGCAGAGAGATGGAGAGAGAAAAATGCAGAGAGAGAGAGAAAGATGGAGAGAGAGATGGAGAGAGAGATGCAGAGAGAAATGGAGAGAGAGATGGAAAGATGAGAGGAGAAAGATAGATGCAGAGAGGGAGAGAAAGATGGAGAGAGATGCAAAGAGAGATGGAAAGATGAGAGGAGAAAGATAGATGCAGAGAGGGAGAGAAAGATGGAGAGAGATGCAAAGAGAGATGGAGAGAGAGAAGGAGAAAGAAATGCAGAGACAGAGAGAGTGAGAAAGAAAGATGGAAAGAGATGCAGAGAGATGGAGAGATGGAGAGGAGAAAGATGCAGAGAGAGAGAAGGAGAAAGATGGAGAGAGATGTATAGATGGATAGATGGTGAGAGATGCAGAGAGAGATGGCGAGAGAGAAAAATGCAGAGAGAGAAAGATGGAGAGAGAGATGGAGAGAGAAATGCAGAGACAGATGCAGAGAGAGATGGAGAGTGAGAAAAATGCAGAGCGAGAGAGAAAGATGGAGAGACAGATGCAGAGAGAGAGAAAGATGGAGAGAGGGAGAGAGAAAGATGGAAAGAGATGGAGAGAGAAAAATGCAGAGAGAGAGAAAGATGGAGAGAGAGATGGAGAGATGGATAGAGATGGATGCAGAGAGAGATGGAGAGAGAAAAATGCAGAGAGAGACAAAGATGGAGAGATGCAGAGAGAGAGATGGAGAGAGAGAGATGGAGAGAGAGATGCAGAGAGAAATGGAGAGAGATGGAAAGATGAGAGGATAGATGCAGAGAGAGAGAGAGAAAGATGGAGAGAGATGCAGAGAGATGGAGAGATGGAGAGGAGAAAGATGCAGAGAGAGAGATGGAGAGAGAGATGGAGAGAGAAAAATCCAGAGAGAGAGAAAGATGGAGAGAGAGATGGAGAGCGAGATGGAGAGAGATGGATGCAGAGAGAGATGGAGAGAGAAAAATGCAGAGAGAGACAAAGATGGAGAGATGCAGAGAGAGAGATGCAGAGAGAAATGGAGAGAGAGATGGAAAGATGAGAGGATAGATGCAGAGAGAGAGAGAGAAAGATGGAGAGAGATGCAGAGAGATGGAGAGATGGAGAGCAGAAAGATGCAGAGAGAGAGATGGAGAGAGAGATGGAGAGAGAAAGAAAGAGAGAGAGAGAGAGAGAGAGAGAGAGAGAGAGAGAGAGAGAGAGAGAGAGGGAGAGGGAGAGAAACTGGCCCCAAAGCCATCAGAAATGAGTCCTGCAAGAAAACGCAGGGCAGTCCAGGACCTCCAGCACAGCCCCTCCCCCACTTGTCCCTCAACAGAGCAAGGAAGGACCCCCGCCTCCAACCCCAACCGAGACGGGCTTATATCACCCCCCTGCCCCCGACAGAGAGACAAAATTCCTTTAAAGTCAGATTTTATTAGCAGGAAAAGTATTTTCACATCCCAGGTTTCTCCGGCAAGAATTCGCGAGACCACAGGGGTCAACAAGGGCAATAAACGTGGGAATATTTGCGCAGCGGAGCCCTGTTGAAACGGAGCCGTACGCAGACGCAATCAAAACTCTCCCACACACTAAATAGGAGGGAGGAAGGAGGAGAAAGCCACGCTCAGGGAGGGAGGGAGTTCCGGAACGGCGCTGCGGCGAAGCCAAATCAGGGGGGCAAGTGAAACTTCACATCGAGGTCCACCTCTTTGGCCAACGTCATGATCTCGGAGAGCTTGACGGCCATCTTGGCCGCCCGGTCCAGATCGTCGCAGGGCAGGATCTTCAAGCCGCTCTCGGCGATCAGGACTTTGGCGTCGGCCACCCGGGTGCCTTGCAGGCGCACCACGATGGGGATTTTGAGCTCCAGGTCCTCGACGGACATGATGATCCCGTGCGCGATGACATCGCACCGCATGAGGCCTCCGAAGATGTTGACCAGGATGGCCTGGACCTTCTCGTTGGAGGTGATCAGCTTGAAGGCCTCGGTGACTTGCTCCACCGTGGCCCCGCCGCCCACACTGAGGTAGTTGGCCGGGGCGCCTCCGTGGAGCTTGATGATGTCCATGGTGGCCATGGCCAAGCCTGCCCCATTGACCAGACAACCGATGTTGCCGTCCAAAGCGATGTAGTTGAGCTCCGCATTGGCCGCCTCCCGTTCCTTGTCGTCCATCTGGGTCCAGTCCTGAAGCTCGAAGACCTTCTGCTGGCGGAAGGCCGAGTTGCTGTCGAAGATGACCTTGGCGTCCATGCACATCACTCTCCCCGTAGAGTCCTCCACCAGCGGGTTGATCTCCACCATGACGGCGTCGTAATTGATGAAGAAGTTGTAGAGTTTGATCATGTTGTCCGCCGCCTCTTCCACCAGCTCCGAAGGGAAGCCCATTTTCTCAGCCAACGGGATGGCTTGGCTGCGTTGCAGGCCCGCCACGATATCCACCGGCTCCTTCAGGATGGACTCCGGTTTGTCGGCCGCCACGTCTTCGATCCGGACGCCGCCCTGAGAACTGGCGACGATCACCGGCCCCTGGAAGTCCCTCTCCATGCTGATGGCGAAGTAGTACTCCTTCCGCAGGTATCGGCGCTCGCAGACCAGAACCTGGTTGCAGATCCGTCCTTTTTCGCCCGTCTGTATGGTGATGAGTTTCTTGCCGATCATCTGGGCGGCCACCTCCTTGGCCTCCTCTGGAGAACACACGATCTGCACGCCGCCTTTCAGCCCACCTTCGAAGACCCCCTTTTCCCGGCCCCCCGCCACCACCTGGGCCTTCACCACCAGGTCATTGGTGCCGATCTTCCGGGCCACCTTGTACGCTTCCTCGGGGGTCCTGGCCACCAAGCCGTACGGGACGCAGACGCCGGCCTCCTTCAGCAGCTTCATGCTCAGGTATTCATGGATGGAGAGGTGGCGGAGACGCTGACGCTGCAGCTGCCGGACGGGAGACGTCGTGGAAAACCGCTGGCTGGCGCCGCACGCCGGGGCTCCGGCGCCCCGTCCCGTCCAGAAGACCTTGGTCCATATCGTTTGGGCTCCTCTGACCGCCCGTGGCCAGAACATGAAGATGGTTAGATGCCTTCAGCCAGGTTGAGCCTTCTGGATCAAAACCTTCCAACCGGCTGTTGATAGTTTGAAAAAAAATACCAGCCCACTGCTTCCTGCTGGCTTCCCATTGGCTGAAGCCAGAGGTTCTGTGACCTCACCCACCTCGGCCCCGCCTCCTTGGAGCCCCCAGGGAAGACCCTCCCTCCCCCCAAGGATGGAGGTCCTGCTTCCTCCGGAGGAGAAAACGGGAGCTTCGCATTTTCTGAACCCGTGAAAGGTTCCCGAGAAACAGACGCCGATTTCCGTCGGAAAAGCGGTTTCTATGTTGCTGTATTTATTACGGGAAAGTTAGCAGGAAGTCCCCGGCTTAATACGATTCATTTAGTGACCGTTCGAACTTAGGACGGCACTGGAGAATGGGACTTATGGGCATTGTTTCATACTTACGACCGTTACGACCGTCCCCATGTTCACGTGATCCAAATTCTAAGGCTTGGCAACCGACTGGTATTTATGACCACTTAACCAACGGTGTGACTGACTTAACAACTGCAGGGATTCCCTTAGTGACTGTGACAAGGAAAGGTCGTAAAATGGGGGCAAAAGTTACTTAAGAAATGTCTAACTTCACCATGGGAATTTGACGTAAGTCAAGGACTTCCTGTACCGGCCGCCAGGGAATAAATGTACGGACACTCATTTTGACATTGGGATAGTCTTCCTCACATCAGGCCATCTCAGCTGATCGGGAGGGGGGGCATGTTGTGGATCCCATGAGTTCAGACATTTTGTCTGTAAGGGTCTCCTGCTTGAGCAGGGGGTTGGACTAGATGACCTCCGAGGTCCCTTCCAGCTCTGTGATTTTGTAAGGGTCTCCTGCTGGAGAAGGGGGTTGGACTAGATGACCTCCGAGGCCTCTTCCCACTTTGTCATTGTCTGATTCTGTAAGGGTCTCCTCCTTGAGTAGGGGGTTGGACTAGATGACCTCAAAGATCCCTTCCAACTCTGTTATGATGTAATTTTGTAAGGTTCTCCTGGTTGAGCAGGGGGTTGGACAAGATGACCTCCAAAGTCCCTATTATTCTGTGATTCTGTAAAGTCTCTTGCTTGAGCAGGGGGTTGGACTAGATGACCTCTGAGGTCCCTTCCAACTCTGTCATTCTGTAAGGGTCTCCTGCTTGAGCAGGGGGTTGGACTAGATGACCTCTGAGGTCCCTTCCAACTCTGTTATTATGTAATTCTGGAAGGGTCTCCTGCTTGAGCATGGGGGCTGGACTAGATGACCTCTGAGGTTCCTTCTATTATTCTGTAATTATGTAAAGTCTCTTGGTTGAGCAGGGAGCTAGACTAGATGACCTCCAAGGTCCCTTCCAACTTTGTCATTCAGTGATTCTGTAAGGGTCTCCTGCTTGAGGTGGGGGTTGGACTAGATGACCTCCGAGGTTCCTTCCAACTCTGTCATTCTGTAAGGGTCTTCTGCTTGAGCAGGGGGTTGGACTAGATGACCTCTGAGGTCCCTTCCAACTCTGTTATCATGTAGTTCTGTAAGGGCCTCTTGCTTGAGCAGGGGGTTGGACTAGATGACCTCCAAGGTCCCTTCCCACTCTGTCATTCTGTAAAGGATCTCCTGCTTGAGCAGGGGATTGGACTAGATGACCTCCGAGGTCCCTTCTGACTGTCATTCTGTAAGGGTATGCTGCTTGAGCAGAGGGCTGGACTAGATGAACTCTGAGGTACCTTCCAACTCTGTTATTATGTAATTCTGTAAGGGTCTCCTCCTTGAGCAGGGTGTTGGACTAGATGACCTCTGAGATCCCTTCTATTATTCTGTAATTCTGTAAAGTCACCTGCTTGAGCAGGGAGTTGGACTAGATGACCCCCCCAAGGTCCTTTCCCACTCTGTTATGTAATTCTGTAAGGGTCTCCTGCTTGAGCAGGGGGCTGGACTAGATGACCTCCAAGGTCCCTTCCGACTGTCATTCTGTAAGGGTATGCTGCTTGAGCAGGAAGTTGGACTAGATGACTTCTGAGGTCCCTTCTAGTATTCTGTAATTCTGTAAAGTCTCCTGCTTGAGCGGGGGGTTGGACTAGATGACCTCCAAGGTACCTTCCAACTTTGTCGTTCAGTGATTCTGTAAGGGTCTCCTGCTTCAGCAGGGGGTTGGATTAGATGACCTCTGAGGTCCCTTCCAACTCTGTCATTCTCTAAGGGTCTCCTGCTTGAGCAGGAAGTTAGACTAGATGACCTCCAATGTCCCTTCCAACTCTGTCATTCTGTAAGGGTCTCCTGCTTGAGCGGGGGGTTGGACTATATGACCTCCAAGGTCCCTTCCAACTCTGTTATTATGTAATTCTGTGAGGGTCTCTTGCTTGAGCAGGGGGTTGGACTAGATGACCTCCAAGGTCCCTTCCCACTCTGTCATTCTGTAAAGTCTCCTGCTTGAGCAGGGGGTTGGACTAGATGACCTCTGGGGTCCCTACCAATTCTGTCATTCTGTAAGGGTCTCCTGCTTGAGCGGGGGGTTGGACTAGATGACCTCCGAGGTCCCTTCCAACTCTGTCATTCTCTAAGGGTCTCCTGCTTGAGCAGGAAGTTAGACTAGATGACCTCCAATGTCCCTTCCAACTCTGTCATTCTGTAAGGGTCTCCTGCTTGAGCGGGGGGTTGGACTAGATGACCTCCGAGGTCCCTTCCAACTCTGTTATTATGTAATTCTGTGAGGGCCTCTTGCTTGAGCAGGGGGTTGGACTAGATGACCTCCGAGGTTCCTTCCAACTCTGTTGTTCTGGGTCTCCTGCCTGAGCAAGGGGTTG